AAATAAATAAAATCTTAAAAAAAAAAAAAAAAAGCTACTTCTCAAGAAGTTGTTTCTGAATGTTGTAAAAATCAACAAATCATTTCTTCCATATCAGATGTGCTTTTTTTCTTTTTTTCCTGAACATAACATTACTAATTAAGGACTATGTTTTTGTGATGCCAAAACAAGAGTTACCACCATCCATAAAAAAGCAATAAAACCCATCAATTGATTCAATAGAGATAGAATGATAATTTAAATATTTTCACTTTCCTTTTTCTAAAGTTTTTGGGTTGTCATATGGTTTAAATTCAATCCTTGGTAACAGGTTTCCAGTATTCAATATAACAAGAAGTTATATTTTACATACGAAATTTGAAAGTAATGTTCTATTAAAAATAAGATGCTAGGAAGTAAAACTAGAGTCCTAGGACAAAAAGCACAGAGTTAGACTATTTGCTGACCTATTGTGACAGGCTTCTTTGTTGTACTTTTGAATAAGAAACTAATGACTTTTGTAAAATTTAGATGTTAAACACTTTTTAAGTGGTAAAATTTAGCCATGGGCTCTGTGAATATACTGGAAAGTACTGAATACTGAGTTGTGCCATTTTATTTTATTTTATTTTGTTTTATTTTGTCTTATCTCATCTTATCTTAGAGATGAGTGTACCCCAAGCAGCGGGATGGGGAGGGGCAGAGGGTGGGGGAGATAGAGAATCTTAAGCAGGCTCCATGCCCAGCGTGGAGCCTGACTTGGGGCTTGACCTAATGACCCTGAGATCATGAGCAGAAATCAAAAGTCAGATGCTTAACCAACTGAGCCACCCAGGCACCCCCGAATTGTGCCCTTTTAATGGATGTAAATTATATCTCAATAAAGCTGTTAAAACAAATGAATAATAAGAAAAATTGTTGACAGTAAAAAAACAAATTAGTTATGGGTTAATTTCCTAAACAGGTTTTTTGGTAATCTCCTAAACAAACATGACTTAATATATCTGAAATGGAAATAGGAAATTACATTTTCTCTTCTCTTTCTTTTTTCTTTCTTTCTTTCTTTCTTTCTTTCTTTCTTTCTTTCTTTCTTTCTTTCTTTCTTTCTTTCTCTCTCTCTCTCTCTTTCTTTCTCTCTCTCTCTCTCTCTTTCTCTCTCCTTCCTTCCTTCCTTCTTTCTTCTCCACGCCCAGTATGGAGCCCAACATGAGGCTTGAGCTCACAACCCTGAGACTAAGACCTGAGCTGAAATCAAGAGTCAGTATATGTGCTGCCGAAGCGAGCACTGAAATTAAGAGTCAGACACTTAACTGACTGAGCCACCCAGGAAATTACAGCATTTTCTTCACATGACTTAGACACTTTATTATCCTTGTGAATCATTCATATAATCATTCAATAATCAGTCTCTATTCAACTATGAATTACTCTAGAGTAAATTGCCTTTAGAATAGAATAGAATTTATTTATATCTGTGAAACTTCTACTTAGATTTTTTTTAAGATTTTATTTTTAAGTAATCTCTTCACCCAAAGTGGGGCCCAAAGTGGGACCCAAACTCAGAACCCCGAGATCAAGAGCCATATACTCCACTGACTGAGCTAGCTAGGCGCCCCCTACTTAGATTTATAACAAAAAAAATTTTATGTTGTTTGCTGCTAACTTGTTATAATGCTAATGACTCAGAGCTATTTACAGATTTTTTTTTATATTCCTGATTTCCTTTTCTTAATTTTCAGAACATGAACCTTCGAATGTTCCTCAAATGTTGGCTTCTGATGTATGTCTAAATCTCAAACTTCCCACTGAAATATCAGAGAAACCTTTGTCACCTTCACCGTCTGATCTGGTACTAAATTTGGTATTGCTATTCAGAGGTTATAATAATACATTTGCTAAAATTTATTATGATTACCTGCATTATTTAATTGTATAGATGAAATGAGCCTAAATTGGCATTCTATGTAGCTTTGTTGGAAAGATAAAAAAAAATAAGATTTCAATATTATGCCCCAAAGTATTGTAAACTAAGACCATAACACATACTTCCTGCAGTTTTCCCTAAGTTAGACTCATATAAGCTCTTCTTGCCTTTAAAATTAAATCTCTCTTTTTTCCTTTTTTAACAAGGGCAAAGGGTGCAGACTGGCCCTACAGAGTAAAAAGAATGTAACCCTCTTTGATTTTATGTGTTTTGGTTCAGGTTGGACACACTTACATAAATGTGATTGACATTAAAGCTGATGATCTACCGGAATTGCCTGTCAAAGAAGAGCCTTCAAATGATACTATTATCAAACAGCCAAGTGATCATCTGGAGGCCCCATCTTCTGCAGAGTTACATTATATGGCAGCTTCAGTTACAAATGCTGTTCCCCTGCACAGTTTTAAGAGTGAAGGTAATAATTTTTTCCTACTTTTTAAGTAGATTAAAAACATTTGAAAAATCCTTTAATATAGCATTGTTACCCCTTCTTAAGTCTCTTAGCTCTTCTCCTGCAAACCCGCTATACTTTTGGATGTTTATATTCACATTTAGAAATGTTCTTTTGGCAGGGGAGGGCAGAGGGTGAGGGAGAGAGAATCTCAAGGAGACTCCATTCCCAGTGCAGAGCCTGATGTGGGGCTCTATCTCATGACCCTGAGATCATGACCTGAGCTAAAATCAAGAGTTGGAGGCTTAACTGAATGAGCCACCTGGGCGCCCCTAGAAATGTTCTATTAATCTTCTAACTACCTTGTTTAGAAGGTTAGAAAATCAATCTTTGTATGCTTTTCATATTCTTGATAGAGTCTGCCAATTCCACTATGGATTTATTTTTTAAACCTGCGGAAGTGTCTCCATCCTGTCTGGCTGGAAGAAGCTGGAGAGCAGGCAGTACAGAGGTGAAGGAGCCTGGAATCACCCCACCTATACCATCAGAAATACAGCAGGACAAAGGTGAATGCCCTAAATGTATAACATGACTCTCCCCCTTCCCTAAATTACTGATATATAGAAACAAGTTATAAAACTTGGTAATTGCAAAAGAAACCAGGAAAAGGCTTTTCTCTTGCTAAGGAGAGTGGGCTCAGATAGGTAAATGAGGTAGAGTCATGGTTCCAAAGTCATGGTTCCATTATTTTGCAAGGAGACTACAGATCTGTTTGTACATATGTTTTTTCTTAATTAAGGAGCTAAAAATAAATATCCTATGGGATGTCATGAGTGCTTTGGTGTTAAAAAGGAATTCTCCTATTTAAAAAGGTGGGAGATTCTAGAATAGCACATAGAATATACACAGGTATTTAGCCAACAGTAAAATATTATTAGTAAAATAATATAGTTATAGTTATAAATTAGGTTGCATTATTGTAAAATATTTGCAAGATTTAGAAGAATATTTCTCCAAAACCTAAAGTTATTACATCCTATGAATGATAAAGATTTTATTTATTTATTTGACAGAGAGAGAGATAGCGAGA